TTATCAGATCTACGAAGTACGGGACCAAATAATTTTAGCCGCCACCGTTGTATTAGCGTCCACAGCCGTGTGCAATTAGAACACCGGTTTCTGACCACTTCATTTGACAGCTGATCAAGAGATCAGCTGTACTCCCAGACTGATTCTTAGGCAATAGTGATAGAAGAATTCTTATTGTGGACAGTCTTCGACTTTAAGTGCCCAGGTTTCGCAGCCGTATAGTAAGGCTTGCCGAACTGCTGTTAAGAAAAATCGTATTTTTGTCTTTAGTCAAACCGAGTTTTTCAGCTGTAGAAACGCCTTTGTTGCATCGTCGACGCGCACTGGTACCTCGTCTTTCGCTTACCCGTTGATTAGTATGGTTGAGCCTAGGTATTTTACAGCTTTCTGCGGAATCGATTGGCTCACCGTTTATTAGTAAAGTATCTTCGGGATGAATGAGGACTTTCGCAAACTTTTTCGTTTTTGATGTGTTCTCCTTTAGGCCGATATCGGAGACTTTTCTATTAATGCGGTCAATGAATACCTGGATTTTGGACGTGTCTTCATCAAAGCTGTCATCAGTGAATTCGAATTAGGTGGGTTATAAGCTCGGAGAGATCTGAACTCCTTTGTATCCTTCCATCAAACGACCCATTATCCAGTCAACCGCAAAGTTGAACAGCATTGAGGACAACGTGCACCCCTGTCGCACTCCAGATCGTAACTAACGCGCATGACTCGTCATCGTAAATGCGGATTCGGGCACTAGTGTTAAGGTAATGGAATCTTCTTTACCCCATGAAACTATTTATATTCGAACTCGTAGTTTTTCCTCGTCCTTCCTCAAGCGACTCCGTCATGCACCTTGGACGTTTGATCCCGTCCAAGGGGTGTATGATCCAATGAACTAAACACCCCCCTCCTCAGTGGATTATGGCTTTTACACCCCACCCCGCTCTATCTTCCGAGCCAGACTTCGGCTAACTGAAGGTTTGGCAGCGATCAGTGAAGTTCGCTTCACTGTATTACGCTGTACAATGATGAATGATGATGATAACTGAAGGTTCCGGTTAACTCCCTGAGAAAATTAACCTTGCTTTGTATGAGCTAACTAGCAATATCATACTCTGCAGCAAATCATGAACCTTTTTTCTTTTTGATAAAGATTATTGTACCGTGATTTGTTTAACACAATCTGAACTCATGCGTTTGGGAAATTGAAAATGAATAATACGAACAAACATCAGAAAAGAAGAACATGGTAAAATAAATTGTGGTGGCAAAAAATAAACAAAACATAGACCTGCACCCATCGACCAAATGAACGGCTACGGTAGACGAAATAAAAAACTAGCATTTGTACCAGTTTTGATAAACCCTGTACATTTATTTATACTTCGCTTGTAGCAAATTCAAAATATTCTGAAACCAACCGCAATAGCGAGTGATAGCCGCTTTATTTTCAATTTGCTGAGCAGTTTTACATACCTCATTCCTTTCACCTGGTTGAAAACATTCCTCGTGAGGAAAATCCGTTTCGTCTGAAAAATACGAATGCGATTCCATGGAACATTGTAGAACCTCTAATAAACCTTGGCTCTTTGAAATGCATTTGAGCGAGCTCTTTTTTTCCGAAAGCTCCATCCTGTCATGGTATTATAATTCCAAAAGGCGGTGCTCGGTCGAGGATAGTCATCTAATGAGGATCACAGATGGGATATGAGTAATTTGGTATACATAACATAGAAAATCTCATCAGAAGCATGACATCGCAGTTCCTGGCCACGCGACGGATAATGAGTGTAGAAATCAATAGTTCTTCTTTGAG